GTAGTAAGATGGCTAAACCTTAACCACTCATTTTAGTGGTCCCCACTTGGAAATGATCCCCTCCAATGTGCAAGTAGCCCCCCTTTGAATGTGTTATGATGTTTTCAGTCGTCAAAGTACGACCATTTATCAACAATGGACATGCATCCCCTACATACACTGCTCAAACTAGATTAACGGTCAAAACAACCAATGATCCCGATGTAGCCAACCCGTCGAGTCTACATCTCCTTAGGTAGACTCGAATGGCGGTACTTGTCGGTCCTCTTGTCGAAGATGACTCGCAACGAGCCCACTCGATCAGCTACTCGACGCCTCACGAGGTCGACTCGAAAGGTATTACTTCTTGGCTAAGCTAAAGGACGACTTCAGCCTTGAGCCTTTCCCGCTGCAAGCACATCGGCGTCACGCGCATCATACGTCTAGCCTTGATAGTCTTCATGACTCATCGGGCCACGTCAGCACCGTCATGTCTCTGATCACTTCTCATTTAATGTTGAGGTGATCTCTCACAAATGACGACATATCTCGACAAAAAGAGCATTTAATCGGGACGGATAGAAAACGCAAAAATGTTAAATCTTTGTCAAAAAGTCCCTCCCGATGTGGTTGAAGAGCTTAAAGATTATAAAGAAAGGCAAAAGATAGCTAAAAGACAACAAGCTATAGATGAATATCTCCCCGAACTTGGGGATGAGAACATGGTGGAAATTGATGAGGAGGAGGATGAAGATGAACAAGTACAAGAACGTAGAGATAGAGGAAAAGGCCCGACAGTTCATATGTCATCTTCGGTAACGACAAGAGGAAGAGGGAGTGTTGGCATGCACAGTGCGGGATCTTCTACAGGCCCAAAGATGAAGGGGCCGATGAATGCATTTCTTACATTCGATCCCGCTCTAGAGGTCGCCAAGGATGAAAGAAGGCGCAAGTTGAGGCAATCGTGTATTGAAGAAAGCCTCAACAAAGATGCAGTGGCTAAAGTGCATCAAGACATAGCTCGGTGGTGGTATCAAGCTGGCATTCCCTACCGCTCGTCTTAGATCTTTCAAAATCATGTTAAAAGTCCGTGGGGGCTTTTGGGCCTAACTTGCCTCCGACATTACACCATTTCAGAGAGCCTTTGCTTAGGAAGGAGAAAAAAATACACCGATGATCTGATACAACCTCATAAAGAGGTGTGGGCTACAAAAGGTTGTTCTTTCATGTCAGATGGTTGGAGTGACAGAAAGGGGAGGACATTGATCAACTTTCTTGTGAACTCTCCTCATGGTACGGTGTTTCTTTCCTCTATTGATGCTTCTGATGAGATCAAGACGGGGGATAGAATGTTTGAGATACTTAGTGAGCAGATTAAGCTCATAGGACCTCAGAATGTGGTTCAGATCGTCACGGATAACCATTCTAGTCTCAAATATGCAAGTAAATTTTAAGCAATTAATTTTATTTTGGTTATGAATTCTTTGCTAATGCTATGTTAGGATGCTCAGATATTGATCTTTTTTTTATTCTTTTATTTATAGGAGCGGAATTGGAAAAAGAGTATCCTCATTTATATTGGACTCCTTGTGCTGCTCATTGTATTAATCTCATGCTCAAGGATATTGGTAAACTACCATCTGTGAAGCTAACATTGAGTCGAGCTATGGAGTTGACTGGATTCATCTACTCACATGCGTGGGTTTTGAAGCTGATGAGAGGTCAAACTAACGACAGAGAGCTTCTTAGACCGGCGGTGACACGATTTGCCACATCATTTATGACTTTGTCAAGCATCCATTGACAGAAAAATAACCTCAGAAAGATGTTTAATTTGGAGACATGGAGGCAAAGTAAGTGGGCAAGAGAGTCAAAGGGAAAATCAGCTGAAAGGATAGTTCATATGCCATCTTTCTGGAACAACATTATTCGTATTCTCAAGCTGATGGCTTCTCTCGTTGGTGTTCTGAAACTTGTTGATGGTGACAAGAAGCCTGCTATGGGATATATTTATGAGGCGATGGATAGAGCTAAGGAGGTTATTGCTAAAGCCTTTGGTGATGATTCAATAAAATATTCTGAGGTATTTGATATCATTGATAAGAGGTGGCAGGATCAGCTTCATCGACCTTTACATGCTGCAAGATATTACCTCAATCCTGCATTTTTCTATGACCATCCAAACATCCAAGGGGATGACGAAGTTATAAGAGGTCTTTATCAAGTCATTGAGAAGATGGTGCCCACACAAGACCAAGACAAGGTTGATAAACAGTTGGATATATACAGGCATGCTGAAGGTCTTTTTGGTATGGAGATAGCTAAGAGAAACAGAAAGAAGAAGTCTCCAGGTAAATATGCATAATATAAACCCTTAATTGACTAGATTTCTTATAAGAAATACACTACTAATCACAGTCTATTTAAATTGACAGCTGATTAGTGGGAGTCTTATGGTGCATCAGCACCAGAGTTACAGAAACTTGTTGTTAGAGTCCTCAGCCTTACTTGTAGCTCCTCTGGCTGTGAAAGAAATTGGAGTACTTTTGAGCAAGTATGATTAGTTTTATTTTATTCAACAAAATATATTTTATTCCCTTAGAGATATGAATGTTGATTTGATTGATTTGTATAAAATTATAAATTACAGATACACACCAAGAAGATGAATAAATTGGATCATAAAAGGTTACAAGATCTAGTTTACTGCAACTCTGCAAGTACAACCAAGCTTTGAAGGAGAGATATGACTACAGAGATACTATTGATCCGATTAAGCTGGCTGATATAGATGAAAGCAATGAGTGGTTGTTAGGGCAGTTCGGTGAAGGTGAAAATGCAGAGAATGACCTGGTGGAGGGTGAGGACAATCTTACATATGGTGTTGTAGGAGATGCGATGGGAGCTGAAGAAGATGATGCTATGTATCTAAGATCGACTAATAGGTTTCGAGGATCTTCAAGTGGTATTGGTTCATCGTCGAGGAGGGAGCCAGTTTCTGAGTCGGAAGATGAAGAGGAGTTTAATGATGAGGAGGTGACTGAAGAGAAGGATATACCCTTAGAAGAGGATGATGATGATGTTAATGAGGAGGATTAGTCATTTGAGCCATTAGGCTATTATTTTGCCACTTATTTGATTTGTTTAATTAGATTGCTTGCTTTGCTTTAATGTTAGTGAACTCCTTAAGTGTTCTAGTTGCTTTGTTTTTTTGTGTTGTTGGACAACTTGATTTGCTTCAATGATTAAAACTTTATCTTGTGATCTGGTAGTATATATTTTATATATTTCGAGTCATTGATATTTTTATGTGAAATTTCACAAATATATATATATATATATTTTTCATTCATTTTGTATATCTCAAAATTTTTGTGGTATGGACTGCGCCTCGCTTCGCTCGGGCACGCGCCTCGCATTGCGCCTTGCGCATGTGCGCGTAAACTGACTTTGCGCCCCACATTGCGCCTCGCACATTGAAAACACTGGCGGTAAGGACACACGGCTTTAGCGCGTCCTTATTGATCTCAGCCAGCTAGGGGAGGAGAGGACGCCGTCGGCGCCAGAGATCCACACGAACCGCTCCTTCCAATCTCAGATCGACTCGGGAGCGTCTGAAATAAATTTACAACCCGTAGTGTAGTGGAGGAAGTAGTAAGGGTCCCTCGTCAACTTGAAGCTGACCAGGTTTCTCATCAGGCGCATGCTCGGCAGGATGCCGACCTGGTGACAGATCACGATGAAGCCCACCAAAACCCCAATTGCATTTAGGGTGAACTGAGAGTGGGAAACCCCAAAACGACGCGTACATCCCTAATAAAAGTATTGAGTGGTAGCCGAAGCCCATACTC